TGTCTTCTCTGGGGGCGTAGTCTTTGGATGAACCTTGCATGGAAAAGTGAAAGAAAAGCTGACAAAGTCTCGCAGAAGAGCAGCAAGTTCAAGACTGCGTTTTGGCAACGGCCCTGCCCTTCTGCAGTCGCTTTTTTAATCTGTTTTTTTAATGGTATTAAGACATTATTAGCACAAATATTTATGAGACTGCTCGGCTCAGTTTGCTTTTTCATAAACATAAATCATTCGAGTCGCTGACTGAATTTTTTAATGATTTTTGCATAATTTATACTTATTTATAAACCATCTAAAAGAAAGACAAAAACTATTAAAAAGATTCGTGTCGAGCCCGCAGATTTTTCTCCTTAACAAGTTGCTTGTTAGTAGTTAAGAGTTAGAAAACCTTTCTCCTGAAAACACGACCATTTGATAGCTGCTAATGAAGTGAGTTTCTGTCCGTTCAGTTTAATGTCATTCCGAGGGGGCCACCAACAAGAAGTTAATTTGATTTTATTTTTATTTCGTTTCCATTTGCATGCTACATGGCCAGAACACGTTTTCTGATTTTACAAATCCGTTTCGTTAGTTTTTCTATATATATTTTCGATACGAAGATATCGCATAACGTACAGCACTCATATCTTATGCTTATCTGGACTCAATGGCAACGTTTCATCAAAATGTCAGCGTATATCATAGAAATCAATAAATTTCAACTTGCCAATATGCACAGGTGAAAAAATAACGAAAAATATTTATCAATTTATGGTGGCAGCAATTTGCATTTAAGGCTGGCCAGATTTTAAGTCATATTTTATAAGCATTCGTTGTGTTAAAAAATAAAAACAAAGAAGAAATGCGAAATTTATTTAAGATAATATTTTACGTTTTCAATGATAGTTTGGTTGTAGTTTTTGAAAGCAAACTTTAATTTGATAAGTTAAGATGCAAAATTGAATACTCTTTAGTTTCTAGAAACTAGCCAGGCTTTAACCCCACACACATGTTGGCTCCTCTCTTCCGACCATAAAGTCACACATTAAGCACAGAAGACTTAACGGACTTTGCTCATTTCGCACTAATTTGCAACTAATGCCACTGGAAAAGACCAGCCACCAGGCAAAGGCCAGTCTGAAATGGCCAATTGTCTGAAACGTTAAGCCTTTTAATCAATTGCCAAAAATACAAAAAGACCCAGTAGGAAAATTCATATATGTTTTACCAGCCAGAGGGATTTCGTTCATTTCGGGCGGCATTAAGTTCTCATTGAGGGGACAGCCGAGGTTTAGTTTTGGTTTTCAGAACCTTTTTCTCTGACCAAAATGCTTAACCCCAAAAGGAAAACTCTGTGACTGCTTAACCCCTGCATATACATTATAATATAAAAATCAATTTTCCTCGGTAATTACAGTTTTGTGGGGCGTTCCAAGCAATTTCCCCTCCCCCAAAAAAAAGAGAGAAAATCATTTTGTTTTTCTCCTCTGGGTTGCATGTGTAAAATGTTTTTGAATATTTGATGACTTTGACAAGTTTGATTCGCCGGCAGAGTGACAAGCTGATAGACAAAGGTTCCCTCGAAGATATCAGGTAAACGGCATATGACATGGAAATTGTTAATGATATATGAGTTTCGTTCTCTCCGATTTCCCATCTCGACTTCTGTCCATCTAATTGATTTCGTTGTGTGTTGTCCAGTCTAGGGTCTAGCATGTTACTTAGTCAGCAGCCTGACAGTTGGACACTTTTCCAGCTCCTCATCCCTCCCACCTATGCTCTCTCTTCTCTCCCTGTGTGTGTTTATAAAGTCATTACCCGGCAGGCAGCTGGAATTAGTGGCCGGAGTTCAGAGTACCATTCTAAGCCCTAACCTGCACATCATCGGGCACATCAGCGAGTCGCAGAGGATTTTTTCAGTAACTCTTAACTACAGGGGAACTTCTTTAGGGGGAACTTTCTGTTAGGAAAATCGTTTCCTCATCAATTTATCATGAATTTTGGCAAGTTATGTTTGTAAATTTAGCATCTTTCAGGTATAATTTCCTCGCCAAGCTTCCTATCTTTCATCCTTCTTAGCCAATACCCACTGTTATCTTTCCCCTATTGATTTTTATGCAATTTCATTTAATGACAAAACACTGGCCAACAAAAAATGTTAATTTCTACAAATTTTCACCGTGGCGCCAAGGTGACAAGGGATTTGGTGTTGCTGTTGCTGTTGGTGGCACCTCCATGTCACGGCTGTCCGTTGCCGTCGCACTTTGTTCAGCACACGTGCCGCGGCACTTGGGCGCACGTGCCCCGCCTTCTCGCTTTTGGGCCAGCCGCCCATCTACCGTTAGACATTTTGCCCGATCATGTTTGGGTTAATGAGTGGGGCGTGGCCAGGGGCAGCGTTGATTGTTGATTGCCGGTTCAACTTGCAACTTGTCTCGAACGCGTGGCCAACTCATTCTCTGAGGTAAATGTGGCATATTCTGAAAGTCATGCCGCAGGATTTCATCTTTTTTTAGCTTGCTTTTAAAAGAATTAAAAACTAATATTCTGTAAAATAATTTATTAACTTATCTTAAAAGGTGTTAGAGTAAAATTTAAGTACTCAAAATCGAACTTTTCCTGCCCCAACACCCCATAATTCACTTTCAGAATATGTTTAATTTTAATGGTTTCATTTTCAAATCGATTTCCCTTCCCCCACATAAATCAATTCCGGGGCCAGCCCACCCACGCCCCTCCAATTAAGTGCCTCAAATATTTACAAACGCCCCCCGGGAAAATATTTTGTCACTGTTTGTTTGGCCACCCGACATTTAACCTTAGTCTGCCGCTCATCAGACGACTCCACTCCCGACTTCCCCAATTGCTGGGCTATATAGCAGTATATATATGCTTGTGGCATGGGGATACCAGAAGCCACCAGAAGCCGCTGAGATCCACAGCTGCGTCAGCATCATTTACATTCAAATTAAAACGAAAACGAGAACGAAAACGAAAACGCCAAAAGGAAATTTATGCCAAGGGAGCATGGGAGGAGGGAGAGAGAGAGTTTCCCCCATCTTGTGCTTGTTCCGCTGGCAAATGATGAGTTTGTTACCATTTTCCAGAGAGAGGGAGGCAGAGGCGGTCTGTTTGTTTTGACACTTGGACTACATGGATCTGGGATCTCTGGCGGTCTTGGCCTATAAATTACCCAGACATTTGACATATGTACAAGCCAGTCCAGTGGTAGTGGGTTTTGGGCTCCTGTACAGATCACCAGCCAGCGATAGCCTAATGTTTTGTTTGTTTTTGTGATTAGTTTGTAATTAACTGCGAGTCCACATCGAAGATCTTGGCCCAGAGATATCTACATAATGGCCAAGGGAAAGTCGCAGGTATACAAAATATCAAATTTGGCAAGGTGCCAGATAGACAAATGCCGATAGCACCTTTTTCAATGAGTTCACCATATAATTAGAGGAAGTGTTGTTATTATTTTCCCCCTCCCCCCCTCCCTCAACAAGATGTTTATCCTCGAAGTTAATTTCTTTATAATTAGCCAAAGAGAGAGGGGGAGAGGTAGCCCTTCGGGGGCTATATATAGTTATCAAAAAAACGCCATTATTTCCGATTAGTTCGGGCACTCAATCAAATTTCGGAAAAATGTGGTAACTTTCAATACGATTTTCCTACGCTTATCCACACCAGCAATGCGGTGCCCAAGTCCCAGGGCCCAGTCATCCATCAAGACTCCACTTAAGACCCAAAAACTCTGGCGTGTCAATCGCATTTTCCCGAGCACCCGAACACCCGAAATCCCAATGAGAAATTTCACTCTGAGTGACCATGAAAATGCATTTGTATCTTCTTTGTATCTTTGTATCTTTGTATCTTTGAACTGCCTGCTTTTCAATCCCCTTCGATTTTTCAATTTGTTCTGCCGGCAATAGGACACTTGCACCCAAGGAATTACGCCTATATGGAACAGGATATATCTGGGATATATCTTCGATATAGTGTGAGAAATTTAAGCAGGATTTCTGGCTACTTTGCATGGCTGTGAAGTGTTTTCCAGGGCCTTACAAGGCGTTCTTTATGTTGAGGGATTTTTATAAGGGAAAAGTAGCGGGAAATTGGAGACTTGAAGTAACCTGAGATGGCGGGGAAATTGTTGGAAATTTGTTAATATTAATACCCATAAAAAATTGAACATTTCCCTTGTTTAATATCCAAAAAATCCCCTGAAAAAAGAAAGCATTTTCAACTTTTTTGGTTCACATATTTTTATTTATTTTTGATTTTGTTTTTGTGTTTTTGTTTTTTTTTTTCATTTTATTTTTTGCTTTACTTTTTGTTTAATAATTTTCGTTTAAATATTTTTCGTGTTTTCACTTTCTCTTTAGCGTTCACATTGAATACAGATTATGGTTTTTCCTCCTTTAATTTATGCTAAATAAACCTCCTCGCCTTCGCCGGATAAATATAACTAACTGAAGCGTCTATGAATTTATTGTTAATACTATGAATATATCTTTAGATGTAATAGCATAACTAACGGTTAATGTTTACACTATATAGCTATATATAGTTTACAATCGTGCAGCGCTTTTTATATATATTTTTATTTACTTTTTTCTTGTTTCGATTTTGAGTGAATTTCGTTCTAACTTTATGTTACACTGAGATGAGTTTTTCGAACAACATTTTAAGATTTGTACAATAAATTAAACTAAATTACAAGAATTCTCTAGGGGGGAGTGAGAAGAACTGTACAGCTTATGAGTAATTTCAAATTTTTACAACAAATAGAGAGAAATGTTTTTTGTTTTTGCTTTTTTTTATAAACAACAAATAATTTACAACATTTAAAAAGATAATTTCCTTTTTGTTTAGCTTCGCTTTGGGGCTAAAAGTCGTAAAAAAAATGTTTAAAAAAAAGGAAAAATAAATCAAATCTAAAAAATGTAAGATCTTATATATCTTTTTTAAAATATTATTTTTAAATAATATTTTTTTAATATTTTTATTATTTCCCAACATTTTTTTAGATTTTTACCAATTTTAAACGACTTTCAACCCCAAAGCTTTTCCTTTTTAATACTGCTCGTGGCAAGAACTAAGGTTGGCCTTGTATTGCTACTCTTAGTGGGCTGGGCTGCGGGAGGCGGTGACCGCTGGCGGCGAACCGGCAGCCGATGAGGGCGGCCCCTGACCGCCGGGCAGTTGATAGGGACTGAAGCGCTGATACTGACGCGGCCGCATATCGGGCGACGGCGATCCCGATGACGTCGACGAGGGCGTCGAAGCGGTAGGCGGGGGCGGAGGCGTACGGTTGGCGGCCATTGCTGCTGCGGCGGCGGCTGCCTGCGCTTGCGCTTGAGCTTGGGCAGCGGCTTGAGCGGCGGCCGCTTGCTGATTGGCGCTGGCCAAGAAGCCGGCGGTAAGCTGTGGCCACTGCTGCTGGAACATGTGGAAGGCGCCCAGACCAGGCGGTGGAGGTGGTGGTCCCGCTGCTGCCGCCGCTGCCTGATACATTTGTGGCATCATTAGCTGGGCATACGGGGAGTTACCTCCGAACATTTGCAGATGCTGGCGGGCCTTCTCGAACAAAGCCATCGAGGAGGGATCACCCTGGGCGGCAAACTGTTGCATCAGCGGATCTGGGAAAGACGGAGTGGGGAACGGAGTTGCTGCTCTAGGAGAAGGGCCTCCATGGGATCGCGATCGAAGTCGGTGAGGCGGGAGGAGTCACGGAAACCCTTGGCAAAGGGATTCGAGTCGATCTTCAGCTTGGTAATCAGCTGGTTCTGATAGGCAGTGACCGCCGTGAACACGGTCTCCGGGAACACGTAGGTTTTGTGATCCAAATCCTGCAGTTCTTTGGGATTCGAGGGAATGCTCTGGCCATGGCTCAGGCGGACTAAGTGGATCCTGGGCTGGTACCGATGCATCGAGTTCAAGACGATCTGGAAATGGTTAAGAAGAAGGAAAGGTTTTCGTTATAGTAAGTTTGGTGATAATTATATAGCTAGGGACTAGGAGAGTGAGTTAAATGATTGATAAAACCCTTGAAATATCTTTATGAAACATTTTCTTTAAGTAAGCAATAGTATTACTAAAGTTTTCCATTTCCACAGCTGAGCAACATTAATCAACGCAGAACTTTAGACCCTCAACTTGGTGCAACGTTTCTGAATGTATATCCATCCCCGTCGTTGCAAAATTATCAATCATTTAGCACTCGCAGCTAATCGCTACCTCAGCATCTCCGAATGTCTCAGCATCCGAGTAGCCGAGTATAGTATCTCAGCATCTGAGTATCTTAGTATCTCAGCAACCGCAACTCACCTGTCCGTTCTTATCCATTTCGTTATTAGTCAGCTTCACCTTCTCGAAGGAGATAACTTGTTTGCGTAGCGCCTCGCAGCTGAACGGACTGTCGGGATGGGCGTACAGGCGGGCTGGGGGTGCGGGATCAGCCTTGCCGGCCACCAGCCAAGCGGACCGATGGTAGGCGTAACGATACCGCTTCGAGTCCATTGGTATGATGTCCATCAGGACGGCATAGCGATCGGCGGGCTGGATTTGCCTCAGTGGACCCGAGAAACTCACTCGCACAGTGGGGAACATGCGTCTGGAAAGAAGGTTAAAATCAAAATTAATTCGATTAGATTTCAGCCTTTCATTCAACATATTTTTGGGAGCATTGCCACACAGCTAGTTAAGTCTACAATTTATGGCCTATACTATGTATATTTTCCCATATTTTCTTCAGCATTTTCCCTGCTTTGACAAGTGCAGACAATGAGAACAAAAGCCAAACTCTTCCTCCCTTGAAAATCAGGGAAAATGTCTCTCCCATACTCGTATATCCTGTGGTTTAATGTCCCTCCAAGACCGGTGACATAACCTCCGGCTAAGAAGGGCGAGTATTTTGGGACCGCCCTGATGTCTGCGACTGCGAGGTGTGATTTTAACAATATCATTAAGGTTTCTCCATATAGATATATGTAGGTGACCTCTGTGTGTGTGTGTGTGTCAGGTGTGTGGGAGCACAAGGTGTGGACAACCCGTCGTCATGTGGATTGAACTTGTTCCCATTCTCCCGCTGACAACAGCAACGCCCATAGCTCTGATTTTCTCATTTTCTGATTTCCTTCTTGCTGCAGATTTCCCTTTTTGCAGGTACAGAAAGAACATTTTTTGCACAGCTTCCCAGACCCCACACACAGGCCCTGAGATGGCATGAAATTTGTGTTGACACTGCACAAGCCATGTTTGGCCAGCCAATTTATGGGTCAGGGAAAATAAAGGAGAAGATTTTTCACGTTTAATGGCGAAACAAGAAGACAGTTGATTTGGCTATAAAGGAGTTTTGCAGAAAAGTTAGGAGACAAAATGTTTTGCAGGAAAGAAAAGGAGCCTGGGATATGGTAACTCAAAAGGGAGCTAGTAGTATGGAAATCTTCCTTCTTTATGGCAGACCCAAAATCTCCCACGTTGTTGCCCCCGTTTAAACTAATGTCTGTTTGCACTACCAACTGACGGATTAACTAATAGATAGATAGATAGATAGATAGTTGGTTTCGATGCTTACCTGCCCGTTTTGGTGATGATCATCTCGGTGCCGAGATCGTGAAAGCGATCCCACAGCTCTTTGGTCTCCAGATGGCATTGCACTGGCTTGAGATCATCGCAATTGCAGGAGCCAACAATTTTGGGTGCCTTCTGCACCGGTTCGGGTGTTAAACGCTCCTCACTGTCCTCCGTTCCCGGGGACTGGGGCGGTGTGGAGCAGCGTCCTTGGCTGCTTGTCGAGCTGGTGTTTAATTGAGATTCGGCGGAAGCTGTTTGGGCCACGGCGCTACCAACACTGTTGCGACTCTTCTGTGCCACATTGTTGTTATTATTATTGTTGTTGTGATGGTGGTGGTGATTGTTGTTGTGATTGTGGTGCTGATGGTGGTTCAAACGTCGGGCCTTAGTTGGCGGCTCCTCGGCATCACTGCAATCGACCACATCAACGTCAACCTCATCTTCCACCGAAATGGGACCTTAAATGACACGGCAAGGAAAAGCGAAAATTGAAAATTAAATGTGAATTACAGAGTTTTGGGTTAAGGGCTTAAGTTTAATGAAAATAATAATGCACAAGGGGAAAAGTGTTAGGAAGAAGTCAGATCTTGACTGGGAGAACTTATTTAGAATCAAATTCCCTTCAAAATTTCGCGAAAGCACTTCAAAAAACAAATTTTTTCCACATGAGAACATCTTTCATTCTTTTAAATATTTTCCACAATTTTCCACAACATTTTTCCCGCTGTGCACTTGACCAAACTGAGGCCGCTTTTCCGTTGACAACATTGACTACTGGCTGTGCTGATTTCGATGATTTCGCGGCAGACAGCGTGGAGTCGTCTCATATTCTTGGAGTTTCCGCTTGGCTTCGCGTTGCAATTACAATGAGACAATGAGACGACGACCGCTGGCTTAATTGGCCAACTGAACACAAATTGGCAATTAAACAGCCCCAAACTCTAGCTGCGACTGCTCTTTTTCATTGCATAAACACAAAAACCAGAGGGCTTTCGCTCAAGGTACGAGTATGTGCAAAAATATGATGAATAATATTTCGATCTTTAAGATATAGTCGAGATATCGCATACACTTTCTATAACTAAAAGTGAATATGATAACGAACTGCCTGAAGAAGCCAGCAAGCTCGCTTTTCCATAAGCCCAAGCCCAGACGGTAGGTGTTAAAATGCAAACTAAGCAAACGGAAAGCGTAAAAAAGATGATAAAAAACCGAAATAAAAACAAAACAAAATATAAATATGAAAAAAAGCTGCATATTTGATAAAAGATCGTAAAATATGAAACTCGGAGTGCTGGCTTTGTTTTGATTTTGGCCGTCGCTAATTTTCTGCGCCTCGTAAAATTAATAAAATGAAGCACATTGTTGAAAATTAATTAACATAATTAGCGGCTTTTGTTCGCCGTCCGATGGCAATATGAATTCCCTCGCGATTAGATGCTGTGCACAATTTGCATATTATCGGCCATAAATGTTGCCTGCAAGTCTTTACTATATATATATATATAGATATATCTATCTGAGCTGCGATCTTTGGCTTGGCTTAATTGCGATTGCCGTCGGCCACAGAGAAAACTAGTTATTCCAACTTGGCTAAAAACGCCTGCTAATTGTCATTGGCAATTAAATCGAACTCTGCGCAGGCAAGGCGACAACATTTATCTAATAGATTCGTTGCGCAATCAATTAGCGATTGTCTTGTGGCTAATAATGTTGGCTTTTGCCGGTCAAGTTGATTGGTTTATAGTTAGGTGAGTTGAGTTGTTAATGGGTTTAATTGTTGATTTTTAAAGAAAAAGTTGAGAAGTTATGTTTTTTAAGAAGTAAATTCCTTGTAGAAAGTAAGAAAATGTAATTTATTTAGAAGTAAGTTTAACTTTCTATTCCCGTTTAAACTTTAACAAATAACTAAAGCTTAGAGTAATATTTCTCTTGCTTCCTTTATGGAAGTATCTTTAAGATACATTAAGACTTAAAACCTCAACTAAGCAAGGGTCTTTTCAGAACTTATACTCCAAGATATCAATCTTATATGAAACACAAACGAATCATAGGAAGTATCTACAGAATGTGCTTGTATCTGAAGCTCCTATATCCTTTTCATAAGTAAAAACTTAAAAGTTTCTTCAGAAATGTTAAAAAAAACCTTCATCCTAGAAACTCTTTGATTGATTTTCCTTAATTTTTTCAATCTTAAAACCCATAATTGCAGCTCAACTTACTTGCACTGCGAATTGAGGACTCCCGACTGGAGGCATCTTCCCGAGCCATGATGGCGGCTATGGAGAAGTCCGTTGCCGAGCCGGCGGCACTTTTGCTGGCCGTCGTTGTTGTGGTCTGTGCACTGGCATTGGCAGCGGTATTTGCGGGGGCAGCGGGCACGCCGTTGCACAAATACGGATGCGAACCAACCAGCATTTTGTTTGGTTTTTGTGAGTACTCTTTAAGGATGTAACTAGGAGATACCTTTGGTAAGGTATTCTTTGTAGATATTGTATCTGGTCACTTGTCAACACTTGGCACTTATAAGGCTAGCTGCATTTTCAGCACTTTTTAGCTTGCGATCTTAAGGGGGCTTGCTTTATCTTTTTGTTTATAGGGTGTATTTGTATCTGACAGATATGTATCTTTGTATCTTTTTTGTCTACTTGTATCTTTGGCGCACGCGAACTGAGAATCTCGCGGACTGAGTGTGTGCGCAACGGAAGGCAGGCGACGACGAACTGAATTGTGTCAGGAAATTGTTGCCGCTGAGAAGCCAAAAACGACGGCAGGCACAAAACTCGGGAAACCAGTTTTCCCTCTTAACCCAAACCCAAGTGCAAGCGAGACAAACCTATTGACAGCTCTTGATTGTTGAAGAGCAAGCAGGACAGCTAGAACTATACACACACTGAGTGAAACTGCCGGTCGCTCTCTCGTTTTCCAATTGGAAAAGCGGCGGGGGAGTCAACGTGCGACAGAGAGAGAGGCGGCGCTGTCAGCAACTTGCGCCCCTCTCTTTTCCTCGCCACCCCTCTCTCACACGAACGCGTCATAACTCATTTACAATTAAAAATGTCGGCGCTTTCGTCTCTCTCGCTTGCTCTGTAGCCCTAGCTCGATAGCCGCCTCTTGCTCTCGCACTGGTCGCTTCTCTTTCTCACACATTTATGAAGTGCCAACGTTTTGCTTGCGGTTTTTCTTCTCCTTTTTTTTAGACAACTTTTCGCCGTTGTCGTCGCATTCCATTTCCTGTTATCTCCTCTTCTGACGGTTTCTTCCATCTTCCGCTTTGAGCGTCTGTTCCACTTCGTTTCCAACATGTTCCTCTTCGTTCCACTCAATGTTTGAGTGAGTTTTTCTCTCTGTTTTTTTGTCTGTCTGCCTTTTTTTCTGCAGTTGCATCCTGCTGATTTTTCGGTTCTTTTTTTTCTTATTTTATTTAGATGCAAGGACATGGACCTTGAGTCAAGGTTATGGCAATCCGGCCTTTTGAATTTATTAGGTTTAGCTGTTAAATTGCAGATATTTTTAAAAACAAGAAAATGTTTTTATTTTTAAGAGAATTTAATTTAGAGCTTTATCTTGAAATTAAATATATGGTAGTTTATTTATAATAATAAAGGTAATTCAATAAATTAAGTTAACCAAAAGCTGACTTAAAACTCTCTTTAATTTTGGAATAAAGAGTTTGTTCTTTCTTGGAAGTATCTCTGGGATACTTTTAATCTTAGTGGCTTAACTAAGAAAGGGTATTTTCGGAATATAAAAAAATAAATTGACTAAAACACTAACTATTTTCGGAAACAGAATGTTCATATGGAATTGATGAATAATATTTTTGTGATTTAAGGAAATGTTTATTTTATTTTCCATTTCTAAAAGTTTTACTTAATTGTTCGCATGAACCCCTTTTTTTATAACAATAAATACATTTATTAAACGTCAATCAGCCAACTTAATGGCTAAAATACGTTGAGTACAACAAAGAACAAATAACATAAATACATAGCAGGAAGGAAATTAACCAATTTTTATAACTAGATAATTAGAGATCAATGCTAAAAGCTAATGCTAGATTACTGCTTTAGGACTCAAGAAATTTGGCGTCCTCTTGTCCAGAAATCGGCTGGATGCCTTCACTTTAGACGTCTTCTGAAAGTTGCGTTAGCCAGCAAGGAAGCTGTGAGACGATCATTGTACCGACTCATGAACCCTTTTTGAATATAAAAATAAATAAAAGAAAATTTCATATTTTTCAAAGAAGAATTTATTTATGAATTTATTAAAAAATATAACTCAATAGTACTATAAAAGAACTTTATAACAGGTTTTTTTTCAACTTCACAAGCAAGAAAAGGGTTTCTCTTTAACCCTTAGGTCGAGCTTCTAACATGGCAACCCACCACCGAAGAATCTCCCCCTAGCAAAACCACTAAAAAGTAAATAACAGGAATCTTGCCCGTTTAGTAACGCCCCATCAATGCAACATTTATTTTAATTACCCATAGCATACTTGCTCATATTTTGCATGATATTATGATAGAAGCCACACCCCTGGAAAAATCTCCCCCATAATATTTACAAATGTCAACAAATCGTTATGTTTTCCCAAGCCAAAGTCAAGACCTTAACCTTTGTCAGTGCCAATTAACCCGCTAAAAAATGCAAGGAAAATGCTATTTTGAAGAGGGAAATTCATGACAGTTCGTCAAATTCATTACGTGTCTTTAAGGGTCGTCAAGAACAAGGAGGAAAATTGCAAGATTCTGTATTTTCCAGTTCCGGAACCCGTAAGATCCTGACTAACTAACAAGCTGACTAATCCCGCTTATCCTGTGCCTGTGCGAGGGAAATATGTTCTCGTTGTGTGATTTCTGTAATTTGAGACATTTTTTAAGTCAAGGGGAGACAAAGTGGGCATGTCACTTTGACACTTTCGCTCTGGGAGAAATGGTGAAAGTGGAGTGGGCAAGGAAGGAATGCGTCGTGTGTGTTCTGGTTACAGTTGCGGGGAAGTTTAGAGGTATAAGATGGGCTTAGAAGTGCCTAGGGTCAAAAAATTTGTACCACTTCTCCCTTTCATTAGTAGATTTTCAAATTCAAGACGATTTTACAGGATGTTACTAACTTTTATGTCAAATTGATAAGACTTATACTTCCTTTTTTTCTTTAAGAAATAGTACTTATCCCTGCAAACCCTTCCTATTATCTTGCCCCCGCCTGTACCACCTACATGTGTGTCTTTTTAGGTGGCAGTCGCGTATGTCACCATAATGTCAAAAGCCAAGGAAAACACAAGTTGTGAAAACAAAGGGCAGCCGCTCCGGGACGAGTGGCCACTTGGCACTTGTAAAAATAAACAATTTCGCTTGTTAATTAGTGCGGCTAACTGTCTTTGACTTTCTCCTTGTTATGTCCTTTCCCTCTTCAAAACTCAAGTACATATCTGGCCCTCGGCTTTGTCGGCAATTTATAATTTTCTTTCGTTATTTTCTCCTCGTTTTTTTTAACGATCGCTTATGGTAATCGAATACTTTCACTTTGATTTGGTCCGACTTTTGGGGATTTTCCTTTTGGTCAATGAAAAGGACATATTCCCTGCTCTAATTCTTACCCCGGCGGTCACTTTGATTGATGATGAACGGCAATAGATAGCTAATGTTTTGAGCTGGCTTCGATTTCAATTTCATTCTTCACTCAGCTCACTTGAGTTTCCCTTGGCTCGTCTGCGGTATTTCCGCTTCTTAAGTTCATATAACACTTTCCGGGTCTTCTTCGATTGCAAAGGGTTTATCAAGGGGGGTTTTCTTTCTGTTGTTTTTTTTAAGCACTTGAGCCGCCCTGAAGTGGGAGGCACGTGTTCTTATTATTTTTATTTTTATTCTCTTTTTAAAGGGGTCTGCAGACGAGGAAGCGGAGAATTTCCGCCTGGCACTTGCCGCGACTCCAAATCTGCCCGATAAGCACTAAAAGCGGAAGCAACCGAAGCACTATTGAGTTTCTATTTATAAAGCGGAATTGCAGCAACATGTGTGCTGAGATTTGGTAATATGAAGTTCGCTTTTGATACATTTTATATCATTTTGATAGGGTTTTCTGGGTATTATAGCTTATATAGGTGTCTTTTATAGGAATGATTACTTTTTCTTCTTGGGAAATGTTTTTTATATAAAGAAATCTTGGTAAAATATATATTTGTTAAAGAAAATATTTATTCTTTCTGCAATAAACATAATGCTGAATACTTTTTAATCTTTAGCTTTCCCAAAACTAACTTCTACTTCGTACGTTTTCCCTTCTAATACCTTAACTCAACTTTCTTTCATAGTTACAAGTTCTTAAACTCAAACTTTCCAGCAAACCCTCAAAAACCAAACCTTCACCTTAACCTCTAACAAATCTTATTAAAAAATTAATAATTCATAATCCAGCAGAATTTCTGCCCCTCTTTCTCAAATCACTTTAGGCCTTTCCAGTTCCTGGTGCCGCTTTGTCTGGCGAGGACATTTGCCAAATCATCTTCCATCCTTCACGCATTTCCCTCGTGTGTCCTGTGGCCAGCCCGCAAATATTTACCAAATATTTTCCATTATTTTCCGTTGTTTGCACTGAGAACGCCCACAAAAAAAGAAGAAAATATTTCTGGATGTAAGAGGAGGAAAAGGAGGAGGCTGGGCAACCGGTTTGTCTGGCTGCTTTTTGTTCTGGAATTTATTAATGAAACTCATTGGGCTGGGTTTTTGCTTTTTGGGCTTTGCCCTGGGGAGTTAGCTGTTTTTTTTTCTCCTTTTTGGGTGCATCTTCAAACCTTAGCCGACGCTTTGATAAATGCCCGACGCTCTTTTGGCTACCGGGCTCTGAGTTTTTCCACTCATTTTTCCTCTTAGCCCGGTAGCAATTCCGCTAAAAGTTGGACGGCCGCCCTTTCTTTTTTCCAGTAATTTGTTTATGCAAAAAACTCAGAAAATACTTCCCACTTTTCTGGGAATTCCCTTTTAGCAGTCAACATAAATCCTTGTGTATATCTCTGGGATATATACGAGGTGTGTTCAAAAAGTAAGGTGACTCTTCAAATTTCGCGAATTTCAAATTTTTCGATTATCGAAACCTTTTAGAAGTTATACGAGGTGTGTTCAAAAAGTAAGGTGACTTTTCAAATTTCAAATTTTTCAAATTTTTCGATTATCTTCAGTTTTGGGAAGTCACATGAAATCCGTGAATATGGTGGCTGAGGCATTATATGTATTCCTTTGATACATATTTTTCGATAGCAAAAAACAACTTGTCACACCTTCCGGCGACCAAACAAAAATTAAATATAACAAAAAAAAATATAATCGAAAAATTTAAATTCAATTGAAGTATCGTCCCCTTACGCACTCTTAACCCCTCTGCGGTGCCGTGTATGTAATTTGACTCATTAACAAACCGAATCCGAGCCTCAATCTCTGATGCCTGAAGGGTTTTCGGGCTGTCTATGCCGCATAAATCACAACTTAAACGATGCGTAATGCTGTGGCCCCAGATCTTGGCTTTATTTATTTGTTTTTTCTCCTCTAAAATTTATGTCATTGTCGGGCAACGCCTTTCCTTCTTTTTCCTTTGGATGTTCTTTTTTTTCTCTTTTAATTTTCCCTTAAGTCCAAGCTTGCCCTTGGTTAATCTTCACCAAAACGCCCATTTTGTGCACCTTAACACTAAATTTACATATCCAGCCAGGCAGCTGGTG